AGATGAATATTCAAAAGTTCAAGATTCACCAGGATCAGGTTTTTACCTGGAGAATACCAAAGGTCTACTATAATTGAGTTTAGCTAGCGCTGTATGCTTGAAGAAGGGGTGACAGTAAAAGGGCTTGAGTGCCATGACTTGAACATGGGATTTTAATCTGCAAGCCACAAGAAACCGATGAAAGACCAAAGACTGCAGGTGAAGAGGTGAGATGAGTGCCACCATTTGTGTGAGATAAAACCAGAAAGTAAATGGGAACATGATAAAAGGAAAGGAAGGTCATTGGGCAAATGGAAAAAGACTCCAAAGAACCTGGGGACCAACTGATAATAGGAAACAGGAGGAGTGGAAGAGGACTGGACTTGAGCCTAGGATGGCCAAGAGGTGGTAAGGTCATCATCAGAAATAGGGAAATTAAAAAAAGGGCTAGGATTGACATTGCAAGCTGACTCTAGTTTTGGAAGAAAACTACCAGGCAGGAGAGCAAGAATTGACATCACTAACATCCAACCAAAGTTCAAAGAGCACTAGGGGAGAATAAAAACAAAAGAGCCAAAACCAGGACTGAAAAGGAAGGAACATGCACTCACCTCGGTATGAATTCAGAACCATTTGCTGAGCAAGGTCCCAAACCTTGATGCTAAGAAGCAAAAGGACACAGATACTTAATTTTGATATACACTATCTACATAAAAACATGTGTTCAAACAAGAACTTCCTTTAACTGACACATCCTATGGACTTCTGGTGCAGCCTACTTTTACAGTGGATTGCAAACTCTCTAAGGAGATCTTATAGACGTCATAGCCACTGGGTTCTTATAATGAGCCCAAAATGTTACTTAATGCAACATGTAATGTAACACAGAGGCTAACATGACACTAAAGACACCCAAAGCAAGCCTAGAGACAGGAGCAATGAGAGCAGGGACCCACCAGAAGTCTTTGCTCCCGCTGACAGCTTGTGTGCCAGAGCTCAGGACGCTAACTGTAGACACGATGTCATCATGCTCATACTTGCAGAACTTGCTGACAATGAGTGTCTCATTTTCATCCAGCTCCCACAACTCAACAGCACCTGTTGGGTAAACAAGCTCGGATTACACCAAGACAGCAATTCACTTCTAGGATTCAAGTAGTCCATTGTCGCTAAACTAACAAGTTATTCTATAAAAGCAAAGTCCACATCATTAGAGGGTTTAGCTAATTTCAAGCCATTTGGCTTGATGCTGGCATTACTGTTTTCCTAATAATATTCTAGACAGTTAGGTGGGGAAACCTTCTAGGAAAAGACAGGGAAAAAATCCATTATCCCACCTCCAGTGAGAAAGCTTTGGAAAATAAGTTCTCAGGAGACAAGGATGAAATCTCCACAATGATCCATGTAGCACACAGTCCAGTATAGTTAACTCTTCCTAGTTATTTGGACACTAATAAATATTTGTTGAACAACTTGTAAGTCTTAGAGTCGTAAAAAAAAAACTGAACAACAAAAATATGTTCCACAGTGACTGGCTAAGTACAGAAACCCCCCACATAGTTGCCCTGAATATGTACTGTTCAAGCTCAATTGCCAGAGAGGCTCAATCTTTAATGTCCTACTTTTATCTTTCCATGCAATGCCTGCCAACACCCATATTTTGATTTTTTTTTTAATGTCAAAGCCTCCACGGCTAAGCCTGACATTCAAAACAAAGAAAGCATAATGAAGACATTTAAGAAGAAGATGAGAAGAAATGGAAAGAGAACAGAATGGCTTCAGCATCACCTTTAAGATCAAGATTATCCTTGGTCTGGGTTGGGGGGGGCACAAAAGGGATGCATAGAAGAAAAATGATTTCAATCCATTTCTTAATTTTGTTATGGATTTTGCTAGAAGCTTCTACCAAACAATTCAGAATCTTGGAAAAGGTATTTCCAACCTACAGAAGCATTCTCCTTCGGGGCCAACACCTTCAAGCTCCCTCAAGCTCCCCCAAGCACTGAGTATGGGACATTAAAAATTGAGCCGAGCCCGACCTATACCCCTAGCCTCCATTTCACCTGTAGGTTTGAGAAGAAAGTGACTCACCTGAATCGGAAGCCACTAGGATACCTCTGTCCCCTACCCAAGTGAGGTCAGCCACTCCGGCCTCTGTCTGGACTCCAGCGGAGCAAAAGCCTTCGTTGGGGGCGGCACAGGGGTCCTTGAAAAGCCAGAGAGAGCCAGCCCAGCAGCGGCCACTCAGGCTGGAAGCCCCGAGCAGGAGCGCCCCATCTAAGGGAGGTACAAGCTGTCAGCGCCAGAGGACTGGAAGGGTTCGTCTCCATGGTGACCGCCCAGAACAGCCCGCGACCGGGTCTGGATCTGAGCTCAAGAACGCGGGGACACGGTTGGGGATTGAGTTTAGCGACGGGAGGCAGGGGTCAAGGCACGCGGACGGGGACAGACTGAAAGGTTCAGTCCCGCGAAGGGGCACCCCGGCGGGGGTGAGAGAGCTCCCAGGCCCGGGACCTAGGCTCACCCGACCGGTACCGCGCAGCCTCCAACTGCCGCTCCATACAGGCTGGCGCATTAGGGGGAAGGTTCCACTCCCGGGCCGCCGGGGGCACTAGGGGCGGTGGGGTTTCCTTTCGCATCTCCACGGTTCCAACTCCAACCTAGACCCAAACTGGACACCTGCCGGAGATTCAGCTCCCGCAGCCCCCACGTGGTTCCTCTCTGGGCCTCCGCCCCTCTGGTCCGGCTACAGTCACTCTACATCTCGCGAGAATTGCTTCTACGATTTCATTCCGCCTTCTGGAGGCCACTCTCCGGCAAAAGGCTTTCCGCGCTCTGTGCCTCTTATCGCGAGAAAAAGAATTCGACCGGAAGTTGATGGAAGAGGGCATGCAGTTCTCTTCTCGCGGGATTTGTGAGCGGCCATCTTGCTTCTGGCCCTGACAGATTCTCCTGTCTGGGTCACTGGGACGCCGAGACCGCTGTGCGGCCGCTGGCTCACAATGCTGTCCCGGGTGGTACTTTCTGCCGCCGCCGCAGCAGGTGAGTGGTGTAGACCCTGGTCCGGGCTATCAGAGTGATTGCACACAGACGCGTCTAGGGTTACGTGCAGTGGGTGGGAGGAAAGGGGGTGAAGAAAGGCGCAGCTCGTCCTGGGCCTGACTGGGGAGTGGTTAGCGCCGCTCCAAAGGTGAGTGTGGAGTCTCGGGGGATAGGAAAGAGGGACGCATGGCCTCAGTGATTGGGCTCCGCGGGGACCGAGGAAGGAGCAAACCAGATTTCACCTTGACCTTGCTGACCTGCGCCTTGTGTATTTGCAGCCCCCTCTCTGAAGAACGCAGCTCTCCTCGGTCCAGGGTAAGTGTGAGGGGTCTGTTGACTCCTTTTCGTCCTTGTTTTATCACTCATTTCACTTGTGGGTAATCTGCTCTTAGCTTTAGGTCAGCAGTACCTTTCTTTAGGTAATTTTGGAACGTTTAGAGCCTCATTCAAACACTTGTGCTTCTGGAACTGCCTGGAACACTGCCCTATGATCTAATAACAAAGATTAAGCGGGTAAGTGATCTAACTAAAGTAGAAACTGGTTTTGGTGTCTTCTAATCCCCGCCCCCTCACTTGTGACCTTCAGCTGGACATAGCTGCCACTGCCCGAATTAGGGTCACTAGATTGCACACCCAAGAACAAGCTTTGTTAAATAAAACAACAAACCATGTTGTTTTTAGTCCGCCTCCCAGATTCCAACTTTTACTGCCAGATCAGAGAAGGTATTCATGGATTCAGTAAATATTTATCTTGCCACCCACATAACCAAAGGTACAAAAATGAGTAAGGTTAAGTACCTGCCTTCATGGAACTCGTACACAGTCTATGAGAGGAGGCAGCTATAGGGCAGTAGTTTACAGTGAGGATTCCAAAGCTAGGACAGGGTACACCTGGCTCCTCCACTTACAAGCTGTTGCGACCTCAATTTCCCTATCTGCAAAATAGAGACAGCATACATTAGAGATTATGAAGAGAGACTTAATTCCTATGAAAATAGTGCTCGGTACATAGTACAGTGTGAGAATTTGTTATAAATGTTATTTCATAAAACATGTCAGTTTTCTTTGGAATTTCTCCTTTTACTTCCAAAAGTAGTCCTAAATCTTGCAAAATTTGATAACTAGCCTATAGCTTGAAAAAGTGGCTTTAATTAATTAGTAATTTTTGTATATGCAGTAAATTGAGGCTATTATTGGCTGCTTTCAACCTACCAGAGAAGAAAGATTCCATGCAGACAAGTAAATAATTGCAACACAAGTAGTAAATACATATACAAGATACAAGGAACATCCTTGCCTTTTCTTTTACATTCCGTGTCTAATACATCAGTAAGGCTCTTCCTCCAGATTGTATCCAGACTCTGGCCACTTCTTCCACTGCTACTACTGGAGTTAGAACTGCCATCACCTTACACCTAGGCTTTTTCAGTGTCTCTATATTCTTGTCCCATTACAGCCCATTCTCACAGTAGCCATAGGGATTATGACAGTTCTGCTCACCCCCCTCCCGCAGGAACCCTCCAGAGCTGCCCAACCCACTTGAAATAAAGTCCAAACTTAGCATAACCCAGAAGGTTCAACATGAATTGACCCCATTCTACCTCTTGATTTATCTCCTTCTGTTCTCTTTTTAGTTCATTCTCCAGCCATACTGATCTTGCTATTCCTCTGAAAAATGCCAACTTTATTGTTGCCTCAGGATCTTTGTGCTTGCTCTTCTGTCTTTTCCCCAGGTCATTGACTCAAATGTCATCTGACCTCCTACCAAAAAAAGCTTTCCTCCCACTCCATTGCTCCCTATCTCCTTCCCTCTCTCCATTTTTCTTCATGGAACTTAGAGCTGTCTGAAATTGTCTGTGGACCTGTACACTCACACTTCCCACACCCCACTAGAATGTTGAAGGTTGGGACCTTGTCTGCTCATAGTTTATACTCCCAGTGCCTAATATAAGTGGAAAAGTCAGTTACTGTTTTGTTGCGTGAATGATTGTTGGCCCAAGATTGGAGAGGCCTTGATAAGGATATACTTGAGATGTTCTGAAGCCAGATTGGTTTTGGCAGTCATTAAGTGAAAAGCATACCAGGCAGACGGAGCAGCATGAGGCATGTTTTTGTTGTTTTGTTTTTAAAAGCTGTAAGTAGTTCCATATGACTGGGAGGTAGAACAAAAGAAAATGAGGATATAAAATTTGACAGGTACTGAACCACACATGCTGTAGTAAGTAGTTTGTTTTCTGTAGGCAGGAGAGAGTCTGTTGAAGAGTTTTAAAGTCAAATTTACATTTTGAAACCTTAAGAAAGCAGCATGGAGGAGGCTGGGTTTTAGGGGTACTTGAGGAGAAGCAGAGAAACCAGGTTTTGGGTTGTTAACTTGTTTAGGCAAGAGTAGATGAGGGCTTGAACTAAGTCAGCTGTTTAGGGAGAGGATTTGTGTCCGCCTAAAGCAAGTTCTTCAGTGCTGGGATTTAAATCAGTGGGTCTCAACCTGGGACAGTTTTGCCCTCTGAGGGACATTTGGCAATGCCCGGAGGCGTTTTTGGTTGTCACCACTGGCAAAGAGGGGGGACGTTCCTGGCATCTAGTGTATAAAGCCACAGGGGTACTTCTCATCACTCTGCAGTGTATAGAACAGCCTTCCACAACGAAGAGTTGTCGTTAGTCCAAAGTGTCAGTGGTACTCAGGTTGAGAAACCCTGATTTAAAGGAAAGAATTTTGAACATGATTCTCAGATTTTATAAGTTTGTGTGGTAGCTAATAATACCTTAATGTTCAGAAGACAAGCAATGAACTAAAATCAATGAAATGCTGTTAACTCTATACATTGTGAGGATGTAAGAGAGAGAGTGGGGAGGTGAGGGACAAAAACATACTGAAAATTTGAAGGAGACTAAGCTTGACAGCAGGTGTGAGAAAGGCTAAAGGATTTTATTTTATCAGAATCCTAATGAGACACCAGTGTGCTATAATATAACTGCTAAAAATGCAATCTTAGGCTATTTTAAGACAAGAATAGATTGCAAATCCACAATAATAGTAGTAGTTCTAGCCCAATAATGGCAATAGCAAGTTCTCAATACGTATTTGTAGAATGAAAGAATTCGTCAAGCTATTTTTAGGGTATTGTGTTCAGTTCTATATACTTCATTTTTATAAACAAAACTAGAATGGCCCGGCATTGGTGGTATAGTGGTTAGCATAGCTGCCTTCCAAAACTAGAAAGCTGCTGGTGGTGGACAGTCAGGATTGTGAGAGAATTGAGATGTTTAACCTAGATAAATGAGCGTTATCTTACATGGAAAAATAAAATGAGAACCAATGGATAGAGGTTTTAAGGATGTACATAGCAGTTCAATTCAAAAGATGAACGTAGTTAGAGCTACCCAACGTTGAAAACGCATGATTCACTTAGTGGCT